CCTGATAGATTAGTAAAAGCTGCAGGTTTGATATAGAATTTGTCTCTCTCAGCAGTATTCCCTACCTTCTTCCTGATCCTGTCCTCGCCACAAACATTTTGCAGATGTGACAAGTGATGAGTTATTGCCTTGTCTCTCTGTGTCAAAACAAAAGCCACGAAAGTCATCCTGCGAAAGTCATTAGTCTAGGATGGCTGTTATTGTCAACAGAGCTCTGTGAGGAGAAATGATACATGAAGGAAATTGAGATGATTGAAACGTCTGGCAGATTATTTCTGTCAAAAATTCCGTGTGTGTGTCAAGTATCCACTTCAACCTGCCACTCATGACTTGTATGAACGTTCCCTTAGCTCCAGACTTTAATTTTCCCTCAGACGTGAAGTTGAAAAGTGTTGCCTGTCGTTTTCACTCGAGCTTTCGCACACTGAGTAGTCGACTTCAATAGCAGTCATTGTGCTTTTCCCATATGGTTAAGTTATTGTAAATACTTGGAGTCGGTTTCCTCCTTTGAGTGGTGAGACACCGTTTGCTTAGAAATATGCTGCATTACATAAAACGCTATTTTTAACATCCAAATCCTCGCCTCTTTAAGTGTAATCTGAATCTGACAAAACTAATTTAGTAGCCGGGCGATTGAAGACATTTCAAAGAAGCCTTTTTGTGGACAGGGGTGTCCGATATTTGGTTTTGCCTGTCAGATTTAGGAACCGTAGCTGCCACTCCTCTTCCCCAACTGACAGCCTGCTCTCCAATAAGCGTGCACTGATGAGTTGTTTGTGACGCTCCGCTCTTCCAGGCATCGCCCCATCCGTCATTTCAAATCAGCCTCCAGTGTACAAACTGACAGGGAGAAGAGTAGTGCATTCTCTGCATGGAGATATCCGGCCACCGGTGTTACGCTTTCCGCCCCGCTGTGGCAGGCAGCAGACATGATTTGATGATCTTAATTCAAAGTTCAAGCTCAGACCATTGCCCTTAATCAGCCAGTGGCAAATGGTCAATATACATTACATGAATAAAAGCTAATGAGAAAACACAATGGGGGAACCCGAGGCTCTGACCCTCATCCCGCCGAGAGGCTTCTTGTAATATGCCTTTGTGTTATAGAATTTCAGAGGTGAAAAATCAGAGCTATTATCCAGAAGGGGGAAAAGCAATGTTGCCAGCTAGCTACTTTCTGGCTTTGTTAACATTGGAAAGCGTTGCCTAATGCAACCATCCATTCCATCAGGATAACACTCTCACTTAAAGCTTAATTTGGCTTTTTCATCAGTGGATATGTTTATATGCATACTAATTGTTTCATTTAGCCACTGATTCAAATTGAATCCTTATACTAGTTTGGACCCTTGAATTGAATTATCCTGATAGCTGAGAGTAACAGAGCGCAGCGTGCATACAAACATACCCATCTGCAGTGTTGGACTTTAAAGAAGTCGAGTCAGTAGGGGACTGTATTTCTTAAATTGCTCCAGCTCCTGTTAAATCATGCTTTCACCCCTTCAAGGTTACAGAGAAAATTGGAGGATGAAGGGAAGATCTCTGGTTGAACACGTGTCGCATTTATTTTATTGATGAAATCTTACCTTGGCGGGTCAGTGAAGAGAACATTCGAAAAGGAGGAAATAGATGGCCTGACATTTCAGTGGCTTTCACCCCATTTACCTCTGCTGCCTTTGCTTGCTCTTGTTCAATTAAGTGGAGGTTACAAATATACCTGCTTATCAGCCGCTTTCTACGGAGCCCCTAAAGGGACATGAAAAAAAAAAACAGAAAAAAAAAAGTCAGGATAACGGGTTAGTATCTCGAGATTTTTTGGGGAGAAAGTTACCGGTGCGCCAAGGAGGAAGTGAAGCGCACAGGACACAACCATTTCATTGCAGACTGTTATGTTTACGTGGGGAAATGACAGTGCATTATTTGAGATATATTTCGTACTCAGACTTCACTTTAAGGACATTTCGGCCAGGGGTGTGTGGTCACTCCAGGAGGCAGCGGGACGTGTAACTCAGAGAAGAGCAGCACCAGTGCTCAAAGAGCTTTTACGCACCGCCTACTCTGTGTTTACCTTCATTGAACAGCTATAAAGAGTGACCACAGGCTGTTACATTTTAACCACACACACCTCTACACACACACACCGAACTGCCCGATTACTCCCCCTTTTATTAGTGTTATGAAGGAGATCGCCGGTCATCAGGACGCATGATGGGCGGACTGGGAATACAAATCTTTGTTTGGCATTAACAGGCCGAGAATAAATGATCAAATATGACCTTCTATTGACAGTACAGGAATTGCACATCCCAATGGAGACGTGGACAAAAGCCACTTACACGAGAGGCTCTGCCAGGTGCGTATAAGCCAGTGCTCGGTCTCTCAAAGTGTGAACATTATTCTTAATTCTTTTCAGTCTGTGAAATCCAAGGTCACCATCTGCTGTCCTCTTTTTCTGTAAAACTGGATGAATGGGAGCTGTGAAAGGAGGACCAATTTGTTTCCAAGACCACAGTGAAGGCTGGTGCTCTGAGTAGCGATTTAAACATGGATTTATTCTATGAGGTTATTAAGTCCAAGGCCCGCTTAGTCTCCCCCCTTCTCTCCACAGCCCCACGACGTGATTATTGTTCGGCCTAGCTATTGACACTCAATTACCTTGTGATCTTCCTGGAATAGAAGCCGTTCAATCTGTAAATGTCTCTTTCTGGAGTGTTGAATGAGTGTGCTACAAACCAATTGGTTGTGTAAACAGCCATTGTGTCTCAATTATGGAGTCTGCGAATGATTTATTGTTGTCCCCTCATCCTCGTTGGCAGATGAAAGGACTGAAATAGCTGATATTATAATATTATGTCATACTACGTGTCAGGGTGGATAAGCTTACAAACTAGCGTCCTTGAAGCTTTGCGATATAGTAACTACATCTTTGACAATATTTTTCTTCCACCTCACACACTTTTCCTGCCATAAAATGCTAAAAAGGTTGCCTGCCATCCCATTAGTTTGCATATTCAACCTTCTTCCAATAACGTATTTTGTGGTTGACTTTCGGAGGTAAACAATAAATTAGGCTTTGCCCTGTTTGCTAGCCCCATTAGCCACAGTCCAAGCTAGCCTCGCTCTCCTAAAGGTCAGCTAAATAAATAGTAAATGCTACAAATTTGCATTTAGAAGTTCAACAGAGTTCAAATATGGAAATCTATGCATGGATTTTGTTTTCTTCTGTGTAGACCACTTGTGGCTCAGATTCCAATGAAATGCAAAAATACAAACTGGGCGGTTTACTCTACACAAAACAGTGACAGGCAGGTGTAAGGTGACTAAAACATTCCAAATAAGTCAGCAACAACAACAGAAATGGTTACAAATGTCCAACATTGTGTTTAGAACCATGGTTTTGTATAACGGTGATACAAAATAATGTATTTTCTCTCATTGTCTAAGGCAAAAATATAGTCCTGGTTAAATATTTGACTAAGTCTTGTGAGAATTTAAAAGTAGCTGGTCTCTTTCAGGTGCTTCTGCTTGGGCTTGAATAACACACAGTACTGTAAAAGCTTCCTACCAGCCAGCTTTACAAAACTTCTACACAGGGGTGGAAGTGGATATTTATATATGGCCATCGTTTTACACACTGGATCAAAACTATTTCTAGATGGCCATGGACGCGGTCTACATTAGGATGACGGATTGATTGCTTCATATGAACAAAACATTGTATAGGTTTTCACTGGAGTATTTAAGATGTATGTATGGGTGCTTCACATGAGGCAGATTCACTTTACATTCCAGTTCTTCAATTGGACCTAAATCTGTATCAAAATGATTCCCCTACAAGCCCCAGTATGTGTGTGTAGCAGAAAAGGCCTGGTAGAGATTGAAATCAGGTTCTTAGTGTACATTGCCGCAAAATCCCAAACTCAAATCACAGTCTAATGACTCCTTGGGGCACCCATACTGAATTTGTATGTGCATAAAACTGCTAGATAGAGACGAGGATTGTGTCGCTACCTTAAGTAGAAGACCAGGTTGACCTCCTCTCTGTCTTTGTATCTATTTGCTTTTTATTGTTATTGTTCCAGATTCATTTCCATGTCTATTTTGTGTCTTATTTCAACCCAGGCGATGTGATAACACAACTGTTGCATTGCCCTGGCAGCCCTTACATCTCTCTCAGAACGGTCTCTGCTCATGCGAGTAAGAGCTTTTGCGTACATCGGGCTTTGAATATTTGTTATTGTTGCATTTTTGTGAAATCTCGCACTGGGCTGGGCCTAATCAACTGTTTTTATTATTGTGTGTCAAGAGGACTATTTCTGTATACAGTATGTGAAAATGTTTGTATTTCTCTTGACTATTATAATGGGTTTTAACCTGTGGAAAAAAAAAACAAAGGAAAAAGCTCAAAAAGAGACCAAATAAAATGTAACACTCCTTACTTGTTTGTGACTTTATTTATTTTTGATAGAGGTAACTGAGAATTGTTGTGTTGAAAATAATGTTTTGTGATTTCCAGAGACTTGGGTTGCTCAATTCTGATTTGTCACAATACCATTTGGACATTAATCACAAAACGTATATTCTCAATTTTTTTTAATATAATTAGTGAATTTCTTTTTTAAGAAATGTTTTATCCGTAAAAAATATATTTTATGTTCTGATCAAGATTTTCTTTTACCTGATAATGAGTTTCCAAAATGTTTAATGTCCTTACCAAATGACTCTTCATCCCAGAATTGTTAACACATTGCACATGTGCCGTTTTCATATTCACCTTTTGGGGTCAGATGTCATTTGGTCTCCAGTTGGCAGCTCTTTTTTTCAAGAAATCTAAAAAGTAGCAGAAGAAAATGTCCCCTTATATTAGGACATCTTTTCACATCGTTTACGGTCCATCAAATGGAAGACTATGGTTCAGTGGAAATAATGGCTCTGAATGTGTGCGTATCTTCCTGTAAGTGAGGGGAATGATGTTTTGTGAGACCTGCTGCTCTACAGCTATGGCAGGTGAGGACAGAGTGAGTGAGGACACTCACCAGTGTGTGTCAGAGCAGTGGCCTGTATTTATGAAAATGATATAAAGTGGTGCGACCTGGGGGAGCATTATAAACTCTTTTCTAATGATAATCACAGGTGGAAGAAGTATTCAGATGCCATACTTTTAGTGAAAGTACCAATACATAATTGTCAAAATCCTCCATTACAAGTAAAATACCTGCATTGAAAATCTTGCTTAAGTATCAGCAAAATGTACAAGTAATCTTAGAGCATACAAATTACCTTTTAGTGTGTATATAATTATATTTATTTGTATATGTGACATTTCTAGATAATATTGTTGCATCAAGTAGCATTTTACTGTTGTAGACAAACTGATGGACTTTTAATAATTTCACTCTTTTGTGACTTAAATAAGTATTCGTTTAATTTTTAGAAATGCTTTTTGTTAACATGAGCAAAAGCTGTTTAATAAATGTAGTGGAATACAATTACACGTTTTCCTTGTATTAAGAAGCATTAAATGTAAATTCCCATGTAAAGTATAAGAACCTCAAAATTGTTGAGTACATGTACTTAGTTACTTCCCACCTGGAATCTTTTCTAAAAACAACTATAAAATCCTGCTTTTGAATGCATAAGTATAAAAAACTTGATATTTTACTTCTTTTTTTTTTTAGAACATTTTATTTTATATTATTTGGGCAGTACATGATATACACAAGTTACATTAATAATACACATAAAACACAATTCATAAATATATAAATAACATAAAGAGAGCACGTTTATATTCCAATGAGACTCAGTTCGGTCACAGACTCAAAACGCCCCATGGC